ATTAATGTAATGTTTTATTAATTATGTTGTTTTTATAAATTAAGAAAAGTAAAAATAAAAATTAATTTATTGATTAATAAATATCATATTATAGTGTATATATATATATATATAATATCATAATTAAATCCTTACAAATTTAATTATAAAAGAAAAAATAAATTAGTGGGTCCCATTGACCTCCCCATGATGCATACAATGGCCATTAACCTCTATTTCATTAACCTCCCATTAACCTCCCTTCACAATGCATGATGCATGTAATGGCTCCCATTAACCTCCCCATTAACCTCCATTGGAGATGCTCTTAAGCTGCTAACAAACTGGCTCTTACAAATTAAAACAACAAAAAAGTCCTACAATGACAAAGTAACATGAAATTCACTTAAATAGAAGGGTCCATTAGTTGAATGAGCTTCTCACTATTTTCTTTTAAATCCATGACCTTTAGAATGGCACTTCCATCTGCCCTATACAAGAATGTACTAGACTTTTTAGAAGGTTATGTTGTTAATAAAATTCTCATTTTAGGTTCTTGATCAAAATATTCATAAATAGAATCATTCTTTGAAAGCCTAAAACATATATAATTGGGTAAAAGCTAAAACATGTATAATTGTGGACCTGATTCATCTCTCACAATGGAAAACCCTCGGGCACGACCGTGTTAATAGACCCTCAATTCCATTTCAAACCAAATAATCACTTGCAACAACTATCTAAAATGAGGTTAATGGGATGTATGATCGAACCTCGGTGGGATTTTGGTAGATATCAGATTTATTCAGTACAAAGACAACTTTCTTCTTCCATTTTTGTGTGTACCGTAGAAAAGCAACCTGGAAAGCACCATATGGTATCAATAATCAGCTTAAAAATACAAAAAAGTGCCTGAAGATTAAACATCATTTGGTATATTATACCTCGCTTTCAGTCAATGGACGATCTGCAGAAATAAGAAAAAGAAGCAGATCTGCTCGGGGCACAAATTCTTCGGTCAAGCGCTGCTGTCTTTGAAGAATCACATTGGTTCCTGGTGTATCAACAATGATCATCTGCTTCACCAAAAATGAACAAATTAAATAATGGGGAGAAGAGAGGAGGAAAATTGCAGATGCATCATGCAACTCAGAAAAGACGGGCGGTTTGGTTGTTTTTCCATTAAGCTTTGTACGGATTAAGGTAAATTGTTGTTTGTTTGTTGTGCTACCTCAATGGCAAAAATAACCATTTTACCCTTACTGTTTGATGTGTCTCAAGACAAGGGATCATAGATGGATTTAATTATCATCCTAATAGCAGTTTCATGACCCTTTCTAATCGTATATGAGTATATCAGTGATCAATGAACTAAACTTAGTTGCAACAGAAGTGAATTGCTACTTGTAGCATCATTAAATAAAAATGCATGGAAACACCGATGCAGCAAACATATTACTAAGGGCCCATTTGATTTTTGGGAGTTCGTGGAATTTGGAATTATATTTCATTCCAATCCCATGTTTGGTTTAGAGGAAAGTCCGGAATTGAAATCCCAGGATTTTGATGAAATCCCAAACATGGGATTAGAAGTCCCATGGGGGTGATTGGTATTTCACAGAAGTTCATAGGATATATTTATAATAATCTATACTATATTATAAAGCATTTGACAAAACTCTTAAAAACCACTTTTTATGCATAAAGTACTGTTTATTTATGCATGTTACTTAAAATTCAAAATTACAAGTAGATTGTGCGTGAGAACAACTTATTAAAGCTCCATGTCCGAATTCGTGTAACTAACTGCAGATAAATATAATCAAATACAGGATAAATATCTCATTTTAAATATAAGAAATCTAAAATATAATTAGGATAATCATTGAGTTCTAATAGACTACTTAATTATTATCTTTATAAAATGTTATATTATTAAACCAAAAACAAATTACTTTGTTATTAAACTTAAATTAAATTATAATAAAAAAAATTAAAGAAATTACACAAAAAAATTAGAACTTTTAAATAGTTAATTTGATACTAACATTGATATATTTTTTTCAAATTTATATTTTATTCAAAAATAAAATCATTATATCTTTCTTAAAAACACATAAAATAGTATTATAAGATTGACAGAGACAAAGAATAAAATAAAACATTAAAATCGAGATGTATCTCGCTACATTGCGCAAGTACCCTTCTAGTATTTTAAAATATGGTAAAAGCACTTGCTTCGTAATCATCAATTAATAAAAAAGTAATTTAATTATTTTTATAATCTGTTTTTATAAATTATATATATAAAAAAAGAATTCATTTCTATTTCAAATCATACAAACCAAACACACCAAAGATTCCAAATCCTTCCACGAAATCCAAATTCCTCAAAACATTCCACCAAACCAAACGGGGCCCATAGACATAATAAATAAGTAACATCTAATAAAATAAAATTGCCATTATAAAGAAATATAAGTACTCACATGCTCAAGTATTGGTGAAGGTAGATAACATATATATTGACCATCTGGGTGCCTTTCACAACGTTGTTGTTCATTGGAATCAAACTCAGAATAACGTAAAAAGGTTATCTCATTTGTTGTAGGAACAACTCCATCTTTTAGGTACTTCCTACCAAGAAGAGCATTGATGAAAGTTGATTTTCCCGAATTGAATTCACCCTGCAATTCTTAAGCCATTAGAAAATCTTGATAATGAAAAATCCTTGGGAATCATAGCAGTGGAAGTCTTTACATAAGAAACCCCGGTTCATGCCAATATGATAGATTTAACTAACAGGAAAACAAAAAAGCTACCATAAAGATCTTCCATATCAAGAATGTATTAAGGGAACATCAGCGTCTTATAATACTTGGAGGGTAAACTGGACTAATACCAAAGCTGAAACATTGATCGATTAGCTTTTTTTATAGATTAACGCGAATAACACAGTAGTTGAGAGTACCCAAAAAATTCACATTAGATAACCCTCTAACATATATTGAGGAGAAATGGTCCAAGTCCAGCCGATGTGGGACTCCAACATGCCCCCTCTAACGGAGGCTAGACGAGGCTCCAACACACCCCCTCTTAACAGACATTGTCCTAGAGTGTTAAGAGGGGGCTAGACCGATATAGATTGTTCCGAAGTGTCGA